AACGGACAGATGTGTTTTTCTATTTTATCTTTACCCAACTGAGTAAATCTCCTTCTAGCTTTTAAAGGGGTGAAACACAGGGGTGCAGAATAAAAGCACAGTATCCAAAATGTTGTGTAGAGCCTTCACCGATGTCGTGTTGTGGAGAGGCTTGGACAGTGATTCATAGTTTGGGAACTGAGGTGTTACAAGTCGTCTATCTATCTCTCATCTATCTATCTATCATCTATCTATCTATCTATCTATCTATCATCTATCTATCTATCTATCATCTATCTATCTATCTATCTATCTATCTATCTATCTAATCTATCTATCTATCTATCATATCTATATCTATATCTATCTATCATCTATCTATGAATTGTTGAAAAAATATGATATATCAAGATGTCTGTTAGAGCAGACCAGCAATAACTGTTGAGTTGACAGGTGGGAATAGGTGGCTATGAAATGGATGAGATTAAATATTAAGATGTGAATGTGCTTGCTATATGGTTCACCCATAAGGAAAGATAATTGCTGTTGCTTAGAATGTAGTACAATTTATAATTTTATGCAGGAGGTGGAAGGAATTGTGCAACATAATACCTATGCCCCAGCCTGAAGGCATAGTTTGATCAAAATAGGTGTAGTCCATAAATTGGAATTAGCCTTTTCAACAACCTCAAGTTAGACAAATAAATCACTTTGACTAGCCCATTTCAATTTTTTTTAAAGAAAACAACCACCCTGAAGCAAATGAACTATGGATCATCCATTTGTGCTGCTGACTCACTTTGGCTGAGGTAGTTCATTATTATCAATTAACACACTCTCCTAAAGCCTGGCAAGAATTATACTACCTTTTGCAAAGTCCATTTAATCTCATTAGTTGCCACTCTAACTCATAGGTTGGAATCCTATTTGATATGCCTACTTACCTGGGAGCAACCCTCATTGAACTCAATGAGATTTACTCCCAGGTAGACATTTACAGGATTGTGCTGTTGCTGACATAATAATCTATTAGTGTACAGTTGCGTAGAGTAGGAGGCATGCCCTCTCTTTATTTGCTTTAAGAAAATGCTGCTATATTTAAGAAGAGGGAGGGAATAGCCATTTTGAAGGTACAAATGCAGCTCCCATTCCATGCTCTCTGATATACACAATCCAAAGTTATGGCATTATTTTGTTTAAGGATAATATTTCAAGAGGGTCAAATTAAAACCACCACATGCTTTTTCCAAAACCATTTTCTAACTAAGGCATAGAGCTAACTCCCACTGCCCCTGCCCCAAATTCTTAATATAATAAGTGTTTTTCAACAGACTCATCCATAACATAGGGCCACACTTGTGGCCCAATAATAAGCTTGAATACAGTCAGCTCTTGCAAGTGAGAGGAAGGATGCATATAGTTTGGAGCAGAGAGGTGCTGGCAGGACAAAGTGTTAAGCATTTCCACACCTCTCATTTATCCAAATCACCTGCTCCAAAGTAGCTATAAAATTCATTATACACATTTGCATGTAATATGTAGTTTGTTTTTTCATTACTGTCTCACCAATATATATCCAGATAGCCCTCAAGAAAAAGCTTGCAGCAGATAACAGATCAGTGGGGGCATCAGTTTCTACTACTTTGCTGATACTCACAATCTCTTTAACTGATCTGATTTTTCTCCTAATGTTTTACTCACCTTTTTTTTTTTTGCTTCTTACCTTTTTGAACTATTTTCTTTTTAAAAAACTTTTGAGGATTGCATCAATAATTACCAGGGAGCATCCAGTTGACTGGAAGAGAAATCTTTACTTTCAACAACTCACCTCTGCTGCTCTCTGTTGTGGTGGTGACTTCTAGTAGGTGTAAGCATGTTGAAGACTCACAAAGGAATAAGGTTACAGTGAAGAGATATATCTTGTTCTGTTTTGTTCTGTTACTAAAGGGCCTGAGGAGGAATGGAAAAGTGTATGTGTACATGCATTTTGGGGTCTGATTTTACAGGGAGGAGAATATAACCAGAATGTATATGTAAGAAGGAAACACATGAAACCTAGCTTTAAATTGCAGTGCCAAGCAATCTGAATTTTTATCAGGAGGAAAATAGATCATTTAACATTTAGGGTATATTAGTGGGACCATTAATTTTTCATATAGAACCTGAAAAAATGTTCTGATCACCCTTCTACCAGAAATAACTAGATCATGTAAAATGCTAGCAGCACAATATCCCCCCACCCCCATTTTAAGTGGATTGAGCAAAGGTGGTTCTATGTGACTGTTTCTCCTCCGTTGATAAAACTAATGTTTTATTCTCTCTCTCAATATTAAATTATTCAAATTACAGGATTTCAGCAGAGGCAGGATAGCTGCACCATCAAGTTTATAGACTATAGCCAATGTGGTGTAGTGGTTAAATTGCTGGATTAGCATATGGTAGATCAGGATTCAAATCTGGCGCTAGTTGCTATCTCTCCGCCTTACCTCCTAGGGTTGTTGTGAGGATAAAATATGGGAGGCAGAAGTGTGTATGTCACCTTGAGCTCTTTGGAGAAAACATGATTGTTGTTTAGTTGTTTAGTCGTGTCCGACTCTTCGTGACCCCATGGACCAGAGCACGCCAGGCACTCCTGTCTTCCACTGCCTCCCGCAGTTTGGTCAGACTCATGTTTGTAGCTTCGAGAACACTGTCCAACCATCTCGCCCTCTGTCATCCCCTGCTCCTTGTGCTCTCAATCTTTCCCAACATCAGGGTCTTTTCCAGGGAGTCTTCTCTTCTCATGAGGTGGCCAAAGTATTGGAGCCTCAGCTTCAGGATCTGTCCTTCCAGTGAGCACTTAGGGCTGATTTCCTTCAGAATGGATAGGTTTGGTCTTCTTGCAGTCCATGGGACTCTCAAGAGTCTCCTCCAGACCATAATTCAAAAGCATCAATTCTTTGGCGATCAGCCTTCATTATGGTCCAGCTCTCACTTCCATACATCACTACTGGGAAAACCATAGCTTTAACTATACGAACCTTTGTCGGCAGGGTGATGTCTATGCTTTTTAAGATGCTGTCCAGAGATATAACAACATCCAAAACACTTTCATAGTCCTAGTATCATTTAAAACATCCAAGTCCTCTCAGGGGTTTTGGTACATTTAATTTTTTTTTAAAATGTAATTGTCAACCTGCAGACTTTATAGAATTAAAGTAAGGAACATGTTTACACTAATAAACAGCGTGTTAATATGAAGCTCGTGTGGACTTGCCAAGAAGTAGAAGTCCCACCCCACAATCTTGGGGGCACCACAGGGGACACTGCAACTATTCTTTAGAATGGAGCGAGAGAGGTGTGGTGTGCATGCGTCAAATTTTGGTATTGGAGACAGAACTCTATTAGCCTTTGCCCTGCTTCGTTTTGAACTCCAAGGCCAAACCTGCCAGTTGTTCCTTTTATCTCTTGATTCCCTACTTTAGCATTTCAATCCCCTATAATGAGAAGAACATCCTTCTTTGGTGTTACTTCTATAAGATGTTGTAAGTCTTCATAGAATTGGTGAATTTCAGTTTCTTCAGCTCCGGTAGTTGGTGCATAAAGTTGGATTACTGTGATGTTAAATGGTCTGCCTTCGATTCGTATCGAGATCATTCTATCATTTTTGAGATTGCATCCCAGTGCAGCTTTCGCCACTCTTTTGTTGACTATGAGGGCCACTCCATTTCTTTTATGGGATTCTTGCCCACAGTAGTAGATATGATGGTCATCCAAACTGAATTTGCCCATTCCCGTCCATTTTAGTTCACTGGTGCCCAGGATGTCAATATTTATTCTTGCCATCTCATTTTTGACCACACCCAGCTTACCAAGGTTCATGGTTCTTACATTTCAGGTTCCTATGCAATATTTTTCTTTACAGCATTGGACTTTCCTTTCGCTTCCAGGCATATCCGCAACTGAGCGACCTTTCGGCTTTGGCCCAGCCACTTCATCAGCTCTGAATCTACTTGTACTTGTCCTCTGCTCTTCTTCAGTAGCATGTTGGATGCCTTCCGACCTGAGGGGCTCATCTTCCAGCATCATAACAGCGACATATATGCCTGTTGTCTTTGTCCATGGAGTTTTCTTGGCAAGGATACTGGAGTGGCTTGCCAGTTCCTGCTCCAGGTGGATCACGTTTAGTCAAAACTCTCCACTATGACCTATCCATCTTGGGTGGTGCTGCACGGCATAGCTCATAGCTTCTCTGAGTTATTCAAGCCCCTTCACCACGACAAAGCAGTAATCCATGAAGGGTATATAAATGTAATTATAACGGCTGCCTCCCAGACACCCTTGGTCTTGTGCCGTCTGAGGGGAAGGTTTTCCCAGCTAACAGACTGTACCCCTCTGCTCAGCCCCCTCTCCCTCTGTAAAGAACTGTTGTAACCAGACAAGGGGCTAATTATTTCCATGAGGTTTCCCAGTGCTATTTTTATAGAAAAAGAGGTGCCCAAACTCATCATGAACACCTCCCTCATTCCCTTATAATGGCAATGGCATCCATCTGAGAGGTGCCGGAACTGAGTCCCGGTGAGTTCTGGCTGAGAAAAAGCCCTGAGATTGCTCCTTTTCAATCAGCCTCTAAATGTCCCCAGGAGTCTCCCTTAATGCAGCATGGAGCTATAGTTTCTAATATGTTTTAGACTACAACTCCCATCAGTTCCAGTTATATTGACTGTGATGGCTGGGGCTTATGGACAGGGTCACCAAGAGTCAGGAACAGTGTGTATTGGGGCATTAGACCCACAACAAAGCAAGGGCCTCATGTATTTCCTCACGAAGAGCTGGTGCAGTTATACAAATTCCACTTTTGAAACTGGGCAGCAGTTTGAAAAAATAATTTTTTTAAAAAAGTGGCAAGGCATAAAAAAAAAACCATTATGGATGTTGCCATCCTCTGGGGCCTTCAGTAGAATGTGACCAAACAGTTCCTTGCAATTTATTGGGGTTTTGGAATTGGTGCCATGAAAAATTCTTTTTTTTTCTTTTGATAGTGTATGAAGAAAGGAAAAGTCAAACCAGATTCTGTAAACAATAGCAAAAATGTTCCTGCAATGGACCTAATCAGTGCTATTCTAACAGCCAAGGTAAGTGTGACACTTGTGGTTTTTTTGTAGGGGGAAAGTTATTGGCGGAGCCAAAATGATTATTATTATTTAGCTAATCATAGATGCATAGACAAATAATGATTCACTTAGTGCAGACTAAACAAGTGATGATAAAAAATCAAGACCAGAATTGTTCTGAATATAGCAAATTTTCATGGAACAAAAACAAGGATATACATATATCCTTTGGCAGAGCACCAAAGGCATGTGTGTGCTTTGAAAGAGCCCAAGGTTAATTTGAACTAGGCTTTTGAGAGATGCTGTCAGTTTGTATTTAACTGGGGGGTTTCTGGCAGCTTTGCTTATTATATGTGCTTGTCAAATAATTTACACAGTCATCAGTTCATCACAAACATAAATGAGCGTAGTAGCAATTTGCTAATTTAAGTTTTCTTAGAAAATCCTTGAGGTTGTGTTTAACTTCCATTTAAAATTATTAGTCTGAATGGGTCCAAGAAAAAAGGAAGGAGGGGGAACTAGAAAGAAGTGACATTTTCGTGAAAATACAGGACAACGTGATTCCTTTTAAGTCTAGTAGGAATTTATGTTAATTCTGGATTTGCATATTTGCTATGATTCCTAGTTTACATAATATGGCATTTTTGTGTTTGTTGTGATCATTAGAAACCTGACTAAAAGAAAATTATGGGGGAAATGCAACTCATGAGTCTTCCAGTGATAGGTGGGGAATTACAAAAAAAAGATGGTAAACAGGTCAAGAAAAGTGACAATAAAGGCTGTTAGATTTTGCTAAAAGGAACACAGGAATCCACAGGAAAACCTGTTTAACTCAGTGTAACTGAATATCTAAAATGTACCTTACTCCTATTCCTATTCCAATGCTACTACCCTGCTTGTCCACCTCTCTCCTTGTCAGTCCCCATCAACTGCTTTGCTGCTGATAATGTGGTCAGAGGTTTAGCTATGCTTTGGTCTTCCTTTCCCCTTCCCTTCTGTCTTGCTCTGAAGAAGGATGGGGATGGTGGTGGTGGCGGCTTCAGAGCAAGGCATTCTGGGGAAGATGGAGGAGGTTGTCTGCTCTACCATGGCTTTGCTGTGGTGGCTAGAAATTATCTTAAGCTAAGTTAAAAATAAAGTTATTGGAGAAAGTTGAATTATTAAACTATTTTAAAAACAAAAAAAGACCACACAATTTCTAGTGGTGAGTGAGCTGGAACTGCGGGGTGAGAGAAAGGAGTGGAAATAGGGATTTTTGTTTAAGGAAAAGTGAGATTTCTAAGGAAACACCCAGCATAGTATAGCCTGGTGTTTCGCTAGTTGGAAATGAGCTGGAAAGGAGTGTCATGCTAGCTAGACTGCTATATAGACCATAAGAGAGAGAGAAAGAGAGACTTTAGACTGCTGTAGCTGCTAATTGGCATCCTGCCAGAGAGCCAAAAAGTTTTGCCTTTGCCAGGGAGATGCTGCAGATTGACACTTCTGTGTTTCGATGCACTTCTGTGCTTAGTGGGTGACTCTGCAGTGTCTTGGTCACTGCTGGACTCTGGATCATGACACCTCCCTCCATAAAGTAATCTGTCCAGCATCTGAATACCAGAACCACACAGACGTCTCTTAGAATCCATGTACTTGATGACCATTATAATTATTTCATAATATATGTGGAGAAAGGGTTGGATAAAACCTGTTCTTTATAGTATCTCCAACAGTTCCCAGCTGCAAGAAATACCAGGTGAATGGAAAATTTCTCTAAAAATGTATTTTTACTATCTGCATCTTTGCTAATGTAAAGACTGCATTATTCTTTTTTAAGGAAACAAAGTTCTTTTCTTTTTAAGCCATTGGAACCTTTTCCTTTATTTTACAGCCAGCAGATGGAAACTTGTTTGCTGGAACTTCTGAAACTTTGTGAGTAAAATCTTCACTTATTTGCAAAGCTAAGTCTGTGATTTATTCTAACCTAAGTTTTTTTGTGGGGAACATTTGTTCAAGGATGGATGGTATAAAATCTGACCAAAATTTAATGTGCTTTGTAGCAATCACCATTGTGCTAACTCTGCTAGGAAACGCCCCCCCCCCTCGCCAACCTCTCCAACAATTATTGCACAGACCCATAGTTTTTCTTTATTCATTCCTTAAGTGAGGATATATTTCCCTAGTCCTTCCCCATTTCAGTACTGCTAATGTACTTTTGGCTAGGTGGGGCAGGGAAAGCAATTTGGATCACTTAACATCAGACTAATAAAAGACAGCAACATAGAAGCTATGTGGCGTAACCTTTAATGGGAACTCTTATTGACAGATGCAGAGTATTTTCATTATAAAAACACACCCCAGTAGTGGTAATGTGGTTTACAACATAGCTTCTAAATGAAGCAGCACATGTACTAAAGGCTGTCTGAGTCTCATGCAGCTATCATTTTTGACAGCTGCTACAGGTAGCTGTAGCTAGAGAATGCCTCCCAGTGTTTTCTGTTCCTCACGCTCCCAGACAGAACAGTATTAAGGTCAGTATGACAAATATGAATTCATATTGTGAGCCTGTACATTTCTGAAGCAAAGATTGCGCCGAAATTCACTAGCTACGCTTGGACCTCTTCAACATGCAGGGCTCATGGATGTAGAAGACAACCCCATTACTTGCTACATTGCCTTACTAGCAGCACCTCAGCCTCCTTCTGACTGAGTGAATAAATTGTGCTCAGTACAAGGTAGCTTTGACGTGTTAGTGGCTTGTTTTCATTCAGGATTGCTTCCAGAGAAGAGGCGGAAGTGCCACCACTTGTGCAATGACTTAACTATGTGCATAATTCGCCTATAAAATGGCACTCATCCCTACATTTAGCCATTACATGCCCAAGGGTATGTTTGTATAAATGCCAAATAATGTGGGTAATAGAATGGAACCTTGATGGATGCCAGTTTCAACTTAACTTAAAGATGATACATAACTTGTCCACTATTACCAGGTGACTTCATTTTTATGACTGAGATGACCAGTTTGGCAGTTCTTGACACAGCAGAAGCAACAGTCAGCTGCCTAACCAGCCTCCCATAGTCAATTGTATCAAATGCTGCTATAGAAGTCCAAAGTGACTAAAACAACCAGCGGTCCTAGATCTAACATCAGTTTATCATCCATCACTCTGACAACTGTGTTGTCTATTCCAAAGGTCATTGGAACCTCATCTGGAATTTCTCAGTACTGATATTACATTCCAAATATATTTGCAGCTGAACTGCCACAGCCTTTAAATTTCTTTCCTTTTTTAGTGGATAGTAGAGTTTGAAAGTGGAAACCCATTTCTGATTAGGATATACACTGTTCCATACGAAAATACTCATACTCCTGTTGGAATAAGTTTTAGGCTTACAAACTGCTTTCATATTAGGAGTTGCAGTAGGAACTCAAGTGTTTGCTCGATAGTTGAAAAACTTCAGATGTTACTACTAGAAGTTACCGTATTTTTGCCGTGTGTAAGATGATTTTTTTTTGCTATTAAAATAGGCAAAAAATAGGGGTTGTCTTATACACGGATAGTGAATGCAGAGGGGGTGAGTGGGCAGGTGATTGGCAGCAGTGGGCAGGTGGGCGATTGGTTGCGACCTCCTTCCAGAAAGCTCAACAACTTTGGATAACTTCCCTCTAAAAACCTCATCAATTGAAGACTCACCTCTGCAAAAAAGGCAAATAATAATAATAATAAGCTCAACAACTCAATAAATATCAATTTCTTAATTTTGGGTTCAGAAACATAGGGGTCGTCTTATGCATGGGGACGTCTTATACACGGAAAAAATATGGTAAATAAACACTTGGTGTAGCAGTGGAGGATGAGCACACAAGCTCTACCCTTTGATAGGGTGATCTTTCTGCACTCAAGGAGTTTCCCTGAACATTTTAGAATCCTGGTTTCCCAGGATTCTAAAACATGTAGGAAGCCTCCCTTAGGACAGAAGTCTTTTTGCTTCAGAAGATTGGTCTCTCTAATTTGGAGGATGACGGGAACAACCATGTGGGGACAAAGTTGGCATGCTTACCCCATGCTAAATACTTACCCCATGTTAAATGTGTTTATTTAACTTCTAATTATAACACTTGATGATGGCTAACAAGGCACCAATCCCCATGAAAACTAAAATGACTAATGCAGTTTTAGAAAGAATTGATGCATTTTAATTTCTTTTCTATACTATAAAACTTCTACTAAATCTAAAAATGCCATCAGTCATTTTAGATGGAGATAACAGGCAAGAAGTCACTCAAATTAAATTTGCTTCCTTAGGCTTAGCAAGAGAAGAAAAGATCCTTAGGAATAATTGACAGATAAGAGATGACGGAGATAAAAAGAAATGGACTGGTAAGTATTTAATGGCTGTTTATGGCATTACACATGTTATAGTTTAGTGGTACATTGAAATTTCATTATTTCCATAGTTCTTGTTTTCCCATTTCGCTTTTCCTGTCCACTTCGTTCTGCTAATTTTACTGAGTAAATACAGTGTGGATAATGGACAGCTATTGTGCCAAAATACATTTAAAGGACTTATTCAAAAGGAATAATTTGTCCACCAAGGTGACCACAGCTATCTCTTTTCCATAACATGAACTAATAAAGATGTATTAAAATGGATCTCGATTACCTACATCATCTGGGAATGCTAAACAATTTTTTTATCACAGTCCTATTTTTTATCACAGCACTATTTCTGGGTTAGTGGAGTGTGTAACATGAAGAGTATGTAACCTGAAGCATATGTAACCTGAGGTACCACTGTACATGGCAATAGAGCTCAAAAATATGGAAGTAAAAGGAGGAGGCCCCACAAGCCCCACCTCCTGACTCACACCAATTTTAGTTTATCTTTCACTTTTGGTCCACATCTCATTTAAAGAACCGTTTAAAGAACCGCTGGATTGAACAGGTCATCTGATCCCAGAGTTCTCCACTATGGTGAGATGCTTGGTATTTTTATTTAAATTATAGTAATTATTTCTGAACCCGCATATAGATCAGCACATGGAAATTTTATGGAAATCCATATAATATTTTATTGTCTTTTTCAGAGGTGCCCAACTCTCCTCTCTTTCCCCCCACTGCCTATAATTTGAGCATTGTGTAGCCTGCCCATGCAAAACTGTGTCCTGGCTATTTCCATGCTGGTGTAGCATAGCTTCTAAGAAGGCTTCTAGAACTCCATGGTAACAAGGGAGGAGTCCAGACCATAGCTCCTTTCCTTCTTCCCATGCCAACCTCTGCTCTCTTGAAGGCTTGATCAATGCAGTGGCATTGGCCATAGCTTCCATATTATGAGTACTAATGATTTTAGCCTATTCACATCAGTTTTGGTGTGTGACAACATTCAATTTAAAGATGGTATAGCTACATTTGGACAATGGAGTTGATCTGTTCTCCACCTGGGCTTTTGAAGCATATTCTGTCTGGCCAGCTGTATTTCAAAGAAGGGGCAGTTAGGTTTTCAAGCTACAGGTTAGGTTAATATTTTCTCCTGTGAACACTGAGCTGTTGTGGGCCAATTCTCCTATTCAAATACTCAAATATTTGACTTCACATATTTCCATTTATTTTACTATGCATGTTGATCCATAGGAATCCTTACAATGCACAGGCCATGTGCTGCCTATTGCATGGCAGTTCTTTTGTTGATGTATATCTGAATTATCACAAGCTATCAGGCATTTGTTTTTTCCACATCTAGAGATTCTCAGAAGGAGCATTTCATGTTGCCCTTTTGCTCAGCAGGAAGACGACGCTGGCAGTAGAGACAATATAATGATTTGGGCTACAGTTGTGAAGGGCTGTTATACTATAATGGGTCACATCCTCTGCTTTCCTAACATAAGGCGGGGGGGGGGGGCGGAGTTTCTGTCAGGCTTTGCTAGCTATAGTTTGTTTTGACATCTTTGTCTTACCAAATGTGCTGGCTGTCAGAATCTTCTATATCCCAAATCTGCTGGCCCAATTAGTTGTAAAAACAGGAGCCTCTTGTCAGAAATGCTGCCTCTCCCTTCTCTGCATACTGCAGCCCAAAAGGTTTTTGAACTCTATAATTAGAGCAGGGAATGCAAGGCATTGTGATCCCACTTAAATACAGATGTTCAGTGCTACAAGTGGTGGGGTAACTGCAAATATGATGGGCACAGCAGTTCCTGAATATAGGAGTTCTAAACATGATCTCATGAAGGGTGTGTGTGTGTGTATGTGTGCATGTGCATGGATCTCTCTAGGATAGGATTCCATGTTTTGAGTGGTGTTGGTGCTTCACAATCCTATGCATATATTCAGAAGCAAGTCCACTGTGTGCAATTGAGCTTTCTCCCTAGTCCTGACCTTCAGTTGTATTCCTACAGTTACCTGAGAGTAAGGCCCTTTGAATACATCAGAATTGACTTCTGAGCAGACATGCATGGAATTGAATTGATAATTTTTTTTGTGAGTAGATAATTGTTAGGAGGCGTTTTTGATGTGTTGCTGGATTTGTGGGTTTAAAAGAAGCAAATCCTAGTATGCTTTTATTTACTGCATATGCAGTCCACTTCCTCCAAGGATCTTAGGACAGCTCATGGGCTTATTCCATTGTATCCTACTGTTCTCCGACAGAACCCTTATAAGGTGGGTTAGTGGTTCTTGGCCAGCCATCTGAAGATCTCGGATTTCTTTTTCCTTCCCCTTCCCATCAAAACAGGAGGGATATGTCACAAAATCAAGGGGCGTGGAGTATTCCCTAACCATCAAAGGGAGACTACTAAGCATTAAAATGGGCACAGGATTTCACAGGACAACTAAAGGATTCCTTGCTATTTGTTTAAAGCAAATAATATTTCCTTCCCTTCCCACCTCCAAATCAAGTGTGATGTGATAAAAGAATTCAGTTCTGACAGAGTGCTTCCATGACCTTTTATACTCTTCAAGTCCTTAAACCCCTCACACAAATTTATGAGTTGTCTCCCATCTTCAGCAAGTCACAGGGATGTGAGATAGCAACATTATAGTAGGGAAATGCAGGTCTGATTTTTCAAGTAGGCAATGCTTTTATCTTTTTCCTCCACTTGATAAAAGAAAGCTCTTTCTTTCTTTCTTTTTGCCAGTATGAAGTATGTTCCGTTCCATGGCATGCAACTGACAGATTGCCATTTTAAATAATGGCTGGGGTTCAGTCCACCTAATAACAACCTTGTGCCCTGAAGCAAGATAATCTGAGATACAGAGTATCCCTGGCAAAGACCTGTCCATCATTTTCTCGGGAACCTCTGTGTAGCCCATGCCCTTGAAATCTTTTCCCGCTGTTAAATTGGGATTGGGGGCTTAATTAAGAAATAGGTATAGTGCATAAGACTGAGTGGAAATGAACTGACTTGCTTTCATATATACTGAAAGCTTTGCACATCTTAAACATTCCTTTTATTGTCTCTCTCCAATTTGCTTCCCTTGTGCACACCCCCATTGGACTTAGAGCTTGACTAAGCACTTAGGTCCCCATCTATTACTACGCTCTGAACAATCATGGCCCCCCTCAAAGAATCCCGGGAAATGCAGCTTTTTAAAGGAATTGACAGGTGTTGAGAGACCCCTATCCCTTCCCCTCAAGCTACAGTTCCCAGTGTTTCCTGGGAATAGGCTCTATGAGAGGAATGGGGGGTACATAGAACCCAAGGTCGGCCAAGTTCTTTGGTCACCTGAGGCCCTCCCATAAGTTGTTGGGACTACAACTCCCATCATCCCTGACCATTCACCATGCTGTCTAGGGTTTGATGAGAACAGGACTCCAACAACACTTGGAGGGCCACAGGTTTCTCATCTGTTGCATAAATTAATTATGCATTATGTGAAGTAGTGCTTTTATTCTAACCATCATGGATATATAGTCACCAAAACCATTGGGTCTTTCAATCAGACAATCCCCTAACTGCATTCTGGAGTGGTTCCAGCAAGGCTGTGTGTCACGGTATTCTGAAATGTGTAGTTTTCCATTTGGGATTGCAGAGAAATGATGGGCACCTCACCATTCAGAGATGCTTATCCACCACCACTGATCTTGTCATTGAGGAACTCCTGATGAGCTACCAAGACACCCCAGAATTCTTCAGAACATATTTGAAAATAACTTCTTTATCATTAACCTTGGTTTTCTGCTTTAGCATTCTGTAATACAAGGATAACATTTGCCGATAAGTCCATGTGAAGCAGCTATAATTAAATAGAGTTTGTGTGGGGATGTTATATATTTGCTTTAGCATCATGGAACTAAGGTAAAGCATAAATGTTCAGCTCTGCTTTGATCAATGTGGGTTTTCTCTCATAAAAATGATCCTGCTACGTCCTTCTTATATTCTTTCCACCAGAGTTCAGCAAGGGCAGGCTGAAGATTAAAATCTCTTTCTGTGCAGAAGGCTTGCAATACTTCTGATTTTTGAAGTGATTAGAATTTCATTTCTCACTGTAATCTCCCACACCCCCCCCTTTTCCTTTCTTTCTTTTCTATTAGAGCCACTCGCCCTATACATAACAACTATGGATGGGGAGAAAATGGATCAGGAGAAGGAGACATTCATTAGAAAGTAAGTGTGTGGGGATTAGAAAAGTCTGTCTGACTCACAAAGTAGAAATGGCATTTAGTATCCTAGTCCCCTTCTAGACAAAATAAGCAAATGCTGCCGTGAAGTTTAAAGCCTGCTGGTCGCAAAATTGGAAATTGGTTTCCTGGGGCTCTCTGTAAACTCTTCATTACTTTACTCAATCATGCTTCATTAGAAAGTTAACAGACAGAATACCAGTGCACATTGGGATACGTTCAAGCGCCAGCCCTTCCGTCTCCTTGAACGTCACTTAAAACTTGAATGTCACAGCAGATTAGACATTGTGTCAAATTGCATCTTCTCGTCAGGCTGCGGCATGGGCAGCTTGCAGATCATAGCTACTTAACCTCTTGAAAATTGCCAGGTGCTTTTTAGCCTGTTTTGCAATGGGTAACAGGAGGGTTTAATTCAAAGTGATTCTGATGGAACTAACACACAATTTCCAAAGGCATCCGGAAGGAAAACAAGCTGATGAAAGGCACAAACTAAAGACATGCACATGATGTCTCACATGAGCTTTCAACTCTTATTTTCTGGAAAGAAAATAAAATAGTTAAAAACTGCTATGTGGTTTTTTCCAACTTCATGGCAATTAATTTGAACTCTTAGCTGAATCTTACTCATCCAAATCCAGGTTCCAAGTTCTATTTTTCATGCTGGCAGTATAGCAGTAGTTGTGGTTTACAATTTTTGTTATTGTTGTTGTTCTTCAGTGATACAGTTCTTTGAATCTTAATGTGCTTTTTTATAACAAGGAGCCAGGCATGTTTGTTGTCAATAGCTATTTTTTGACAGGAGCTACTGCTAAAGAACTAGCTTTTAGACATACAGACTTAAACAAGCAATAGGTATTCAGTCATTCATCATCATCGTCATCATCATCATCATTTATTGAATTTATATACCGCCCTATAACTGGAGGTCTCAGATTCTAACTAATCTGGTATGATCTGCTGACTTACTGAAATAAGCGCTACCTGCATTGCATTTAAATTGAACCAGTAATGAGTCATCATGTAGAAGTGACAATTGTATCTATTTAACTCCAAGTGTGATTTATAAACCAATAGTTGAACATCCTTTGTAGTTGGTACAATAGATTGTTTCTGTTATTTTTACATCTTTTCAGTAGGGTTGGCTCTACCATTTGGCAGAGCAAGGTGGCTGCTTCAGGTAGCAGATCTTTGGTGTCATGGACTAGATAGCACATTCTTCGTTATTTATTATTATATTATATTGTATTTTTACTGCCAGATGGGATGCGGGTGGCACTGTGGGTTAAACCACAGAGCCTAGGATTTGCCAATCAGAAGGTTGGCAGTTCGAATCCCCACGACGGGGTGAGCTCGCATTGCTCGGTCCCTGCTCCTGCCAACCTAGCTGTTCGAAAGCACGTCAAAGTGCAAGTAGATAAATAGGTACCGCTCTGGTGGGAAGGTAAATGGCATTTTTGTGCACTGCTCTGGTTTGCCAGAAGCGGCTTAATCATGCTGGCCACATGACCCGGAAGCTGTATGCCGGCTCCCTCGGCCAATAAAGCGAGATGAGCGCCGCAACCCCAGAGTCGGTCACGACTGGACCTAATAATCAGGGGTCCTTTACCTTATTTTTACTGCCAGAGAGGGGGGGAAGTGCTTTTGTCACCAAAGAGCATTCCTGATCTTGGATCCTATGTATCATGACCAACTGGGGGATGCTGTTGTATTTCTGCTGTTATATGTGATGCAGAAATCTGTAAATAAAACTAAGATGCAGCAAAATATAGTGGGCCAGCCCTACTTCTCTGGGTGTCTGTAAACCTTCTTAAATAATAGGAGGTGCAGGGTAGAAATGTTTGAAATAACTAAAAAACAAACAAACCCCACAACCCTATATTTACAAGGAGAAAATTTCATGCAGTGATTACTTCCTCTCTTTAAAAAAATCATGCAAACCTGTCTATTTCACATTTACCTTGAGCAATTCCATTCTTAGAGCAATTGGTCCTTCTTCCCATCCTCCCTAGGTTTACCCTAGCTTGTAACCATGCTGCATTTTTATTGCCAGCAGTGAAAATTTTTTGTTTTGCTGTTAATAATTGTAACTTGAATTCAATTAAGTTTGATAAAACACACTTGTCACCTTCCTGTCCAGAAGAGTGATTTCTTTCATTCTTCCAGGATAGGGCTACAGTTTGTGCCACATCTTATTTTTGTTGCTGTTACTAATGTTATCAAAATGTATACTCCCAGTCATATTTGGTGAGGGCTTCCAAAGAATTACAGCCCAATTGTAAACTGATGGGCTTGATAAATCAACTTGTCCCAAAGACTTGTCACAGAAAAACAGCCTCTCCTGGAGTATACCATTTTCAGTGCAAAGACATGAGGCAAACCTAGATTTTCACCTTTTGTGGTATTTTCCCCCAAGTCCGCTTACCTTTGACGGTAAGGCGGCATTGTAGCCTGGCCACGACCTTGTCTGCCATCCAGGAATGTTGACTGGTGGGGATTGCGGCCTGCCTGCGGATTGACCAATTGTAGGCAGAATCAGGCACAGGATGTCCTCAGGGGGTGGGCCAAATTGCCCAATAGCCATTGCTTGGGTCCACTCCCGGGGGATAAATCGAGGCCTGTCCAGGCCCCTTTCCGAGTCTTTTGCCGGATCTCTTTGGATCAAGTTCCCCACCACCAGCACCAAATCTGTAAATAAAACTGTAAGATGAGATTTCACAACACGTGCCAACATACGGTTTTTATGTTGTTATGAGGTGCATGATGAGCTTGAATTTTGCATTGAAGTGGTTATCTCTTTGATTCCAATTGTCAGTATCTTATTTTTGTTGCAAGAGCTATGCCCTAAAAGGTGACTTATAAATATTCAAATGAATAAATAAATAATAAGTTATAGGTGAGGGAGGGTCTAGCACCTCTCACCCACTCTCCCACTTTTCTCTTAAGGCGAAACCCTCCAATGCCACCAGTTTATATGTGACTGGGGAAGTTCCTCATTTAAAAAGATGCACTTGCCACTATCTGAGTAAGCATATCCAAATAGCATCCAACAATTGCTTTTTCGTTCGGCTGCAACAACAACAAAAAAGGTGATGGCTTTTTATTTTGATATGTTTTTGGAGGTTAAAAGAATGAACTGGGGAGGATAACCTCACATATATTATTTTCATAGTGATGTGTGGGAATCATTTGGCTTAAGCCTCAACAGAACACTGAAAGCCTACCCAACTACACTATGAAATTATAGTAGCTATTACTCATAAGCTACATTTATTGCATTTTGAATGGAGAATTAGCTGCATGGCTCCAATGGTGATTAATGATTTTTATGCAGCTAAACCCTATCCAATGTACTGAAAATGCTCTTTCTTAGGGAGTTTGGGGGTTATAAATGTGCACATGCTAATCAAATATTAAAGGTAGATTTGCTGACTATTGCCAAGTATTGTGAAGGTATGTTGAAACAGATTTTGCAGCCCAAATCATTGTATACAGTCTGCTAGTACAGTTTTGCTATATTACTGTATAAAAAAGAATTATTTGTTTAAAATTCTGGTTCTGGTTTAATTAAGGGAAGAAAAAAAAAGACACCCACTAGGCTGTCACCATGAACATAACTTAGCATATCACATTAGATATAGTTCCAATCTATTTAGCGTATCTAAAATACTACTTGGAAGAAAAGTCAGGGCTATTTCTGATTATTTTAGAGGGACAAAGACAGCAATTATATTTTACAGAACTCTGAAAATGTCATGGTTGGTTCAATATCACACCAGGCTTTCTAGCTTGTAATATTAGCAATGGCTCATTTTCTGTAATGAGAGACTCTGTGATTAATGAAAGTGTAAAACCATATCTTAATAGATATTAGTTCCACTGCAAGATGTAATATTACTTTTCCTATAGAATTTAATGGGCTTGTGTCGAAGGTGGAGAATGATAGACGAAACATGGCCTGTTTTTCACATGAGCAGGAAACAGGGAACTGCTCTAATCCACAACAGAAAAAAGAGGCAAATATCCAAAAGACGCCGTAGAATATTAGTTTTATTTTATGAAATGGTTCAATGCATTTCATGTTGTACAGTTACTTTTCAAGGGAACTTTTTCTCAGTTCTTTCAATAAATTGTAGGAATTTATTTTCACAAACTTTCTGATTTTCAAAGAATTGTGCATTAGAAGTACCGTGCGCATACAATGGCTGTGTGAAATGCCACTGTGGGTACTAAATATCAGGGCCTACCAAATCCCACAACTGAAGTTAGGCACATTCAGAGGACCCACCATGAACCCAGGACCAGGGACAAGACAGGGCACCTAAAAACGATCCCTTAAATCATATCCCAGGACAACAACACAACCTGAAGAACCAGATAACCTACAAGCACCATGGGATCATCATCGGGAATAGAGATGCAAGTGAGCACAAAGCAAAGTTTGGTCCTGAAAGCACTCACTTGGCAACATGACGCAACTTGTGTTGGAGTCAGGATCAGAGCCGCACTAGTATTTCAGGGAGAGTGGGGCAGCCAGGCCAAGTTCTTAAACCCTCAGTTGCTGCTTAGAAGCTGCTGAAGCAAAAACTTCTGCAGGCATCTCCCAGTTTAGTGCTGATTCTGCCCTGCAGCACACCGTCTGACTGCTGGTGGTATTGGACAGCTTCTCTATCCAGCTCAAAAGGCTCACCCAGAGTAGCCCTGTTCAGGTCTTATGCCCGAACAGGAATGCAGACATGAGTAGGGAGCACGCAGATGTACATGGCACCCCCACAATCCCAACGTATCTAGCCCTACATATTCCACTTCTACCTCCCCATGTTGAACAGAAACGTCTGAACAGTGTGTTATTAGACATTTTGATTTTGAGCAAGCTTTTAATAAGCTTTTAACTGGACATGCTTAGAAGCCCACTCCCAACACAGGAAGGTTGGGAATGTGCAGGGGATGTTGAGGGCAGGGCCAGCATATGTGGTGGCCCCCATGCCA